AAAATAATTAAATAATCATATTATCTGATTTGATTCAGGTTCAGTTCATTTCCGATATATATTACTAAAATATTCAATTAATTATATGATGATACTAGGGTAAACCCGCGCTTCGCGCGGGAATTGTTCTATTATATATTCTTTTAACTTTTTTTTTAGTTTAAATATTCTTTTTTCAATTGTATCAACATTTTCCGTTTAATTTGTTTGTTGTAATGGTATAGGCATTTTAATTGGACCGGCCGGTCGAACCGTTCCGACCGTGACTCGCTGAAGAATCCATAGTCCATTCAGTTTAAAGCTTGGATTTTAGAAAAACATGTACAACCGGAAAAAAAAACCTGTAGGATCGGTGACCTGGATCAAGTTTAAAACATGGTTCTAACAATTAACATATAATTAATGTATTTTCTATTTTTATTACAATTTCATATTTCATAATCAAATGTTTAAATATTACTATTTAACTGATTTTTTTATTTAATACTATTTTATTAAGAAAAAAACTGAAAAAAATAAATTTTTAGCTTTCATATATTATTCTTATTTTGACATATTCATAAAATCTAAGACTTTACTTGTAAAAATAAATGAATACGGTTAATTGAATAATCAATCCTTTGATTTTTGTTAATTCTAACTTTAAATTGTATGCACTTGTTTACTGTATACATAGTTAAATTTATTCTTATTATTTATTTTTAGAGTGAATAAAAGATAAAGACAATCTATTATATGTATAACTACTTTTTAAGTCTATATAATGCAAATATATAATTATATAAATTAAATTTTAAAAAACGTCAACCAATAGCTATACCGAACCGGTGATTTGTCTGATTTTCAAAACATTAGTTGTCGAATTATTTTACATTGTGTCTTTCACTGGGCTACACAAATATATATATATATATATATATATTTTTCATATCAGTATTAAAATGATGACTGAGATTTTTATCTGAATAGTTTGTTGACAAAAATAATTGAGTATTTTAATTTTTACACATTTATTTGATTACAATTACCTTACATTTTATGTTCACTATACTTATTTTACCATTAAAACTAACTTAACGCAAATTTCCGTGAATGTTTAATTTTCTCAAAGGATTATATGTAACATTGATTTTCATTAGTTTCTATAACAATTTCCATTTTTTGTTTTATTTTATTTTTGTCAGTTACATACTTATTTCAAAATTAAAAATTCATGAAATTTTTTATTTATTTTATTATTGTAATTTTAAAAATTTTGATTTTGAAGTTAGTAGAATGTAATTTTTGAAACTCTCTGATCAAATGGATTTAACATAAAACATAGATCATTCTTTTGTTATATTCAATTCTTGAATTTAGTTGTATTTTATTTTATAAATTTTTATTAAAAATGATACTTTATATGATCCAAAATTGGAACAGCTGCAACACTAAAACCTAATACTAATTGGTTCTAGTTAGAAAGATATATCATATATGTATATTTTACTGAAGAAAGACATACGTTTGTTTGAATTTTTTATATACTATATATTTAAACTTCAAATAAACTATATTATCCGAATAAATATCTATTATTTACGGAGTAAACGATACTGATTAATTTTTAGAAAATAAGAAGACATTGTAAGCTCACATATCTTGCTTAGATTATCTAATAATATTTAGAAAATATTTGTGATGATCTTGCACCAATAAACTAAAACATATTACTATTTGTCGAATCACATAGCTAAATTCTATATCTCACAAACTCAACAATATATGCTCTTATGAACGACATTAATTTCAACCAAAAAAAAGCTTGACATCAGCTCCTCTTTCAATTCATCACCTGTTGTCTCCAGCCAGAGACCAAGGTCTGCGTTTATTTCCCTTTAGTGTCTAAAAGTGATGGAACATTTGACCTCATAGCATATTACCTGTGCTGCTTCCATTTTTCTTTTTTCTTTGTCGTCAGCTTTGATACCTCGGCTTGTAGATCTTCTATTGATGTGGCATAGCTCTGTACCTGTCCAAATGTTGTGTTGAAACTTAAACCCAAAATCCAAATTCATCATCTTCAATTACACAATCTTTTTGAACTTCAAATATAAACAAATACCTTCTTTCTCTTTTATACTATTCTCAAATTCCCAATACAATTCAATGTGTATATTTCACCAATCTCTCATCTCTCACATTCCTCATGAGTAATAGAACCATCTTAATATAAAGATAATAAACTCATAATAGAAATAGGGAATTCAAATCTATTAAGCATTTAGTACAAACAAAACAAAGAGACAATGATATCAAAAGATCAAAAACGATGCTCATAAACAAAAACTAATGCAGAAGACTAACAGAGGATGATGAGAGCCTTTGATTGGTTTTGACCATATTTTTCAGAGAATACTCATTTGCTGGAATTTCTATCTGTCATCTTGCTACTTACAGCAGCAATCCTGATTACCTTTTTCACTCTAGATTTCCTGTTTTTTTCAAATTACCATTTATGAAACAATATGATTGTTTAAATCTCAGAGATTTTGATCTATATATATAAATTGATGAAAACAGGGGCTTACCCCTCAAACCCGAGACCTGAGAAGAAGGGTTAGTGAACACGAATCCTGATGACAGGTGACGGTGCCAAGTTTATCGTTGACGACAGTGGTTGTGGCTCTTGTAGTCTGAACGCAGATCAACCGTACTGCTCTGTATTCTATCTCTTTAACACAACAGACTTGAACAATGGAAGAGGATAGTCCAGCCTGCAAATCTGAGGGGAAGACTGAAACTTTAGCCATAGATCATATGAGTAGTTTACTGGTTTCCTTAAAACTAATGAAAGGATTATTATAAAGTAGGAAAGCTCTTCCTTTTATAGTATCACATCCTCCACCTTGCGAAATCACATCTCGCATTCAATATAGATCGTGGGTCTTCGATTAATAGAGGGTTCGAAGAAGATTATTCGGTTACTGGCATCCTCTCACTGTGTGATGAAGAAGATGAAAGATCGCCTTTGGAAACCCTAGCGGCAAAATTTCCAAAGAGATGAAGGAAACACACGGCTTCACTCTCGTCGAGAACGCGGCGTTTCAGAGAAGATTAGATATCACACGGGCCTGACCTTAAGAGATGATGCCGAAGCCCATAATTAACAGAAGAAATCGCCCAGATTTCTTGCCAGGTGTCGCAAACAGAAGAGTCAAATTAATGACGTGGATGAATAAGAGGGATGCAAACTTTTCTTTATATATATAGATATATATAAAATATATAACTTAAATTATGAAAAATAAAATATTAATTTATAAAAATGTAAAATTAAATATACCTAGGGATGTGAAGATCGATCTCTAGTAAAATACTTATAAGACAAAAAAATCAAAAATGAAAAGTGTTCTTCTAAGTGTATAGATTAGTATGACTGGCGTTAGTTGTGCTATATATTATTGTATTGTGTGATCAAGTTCAACTGTCCGAATAAAATCTGCTTTAGTAAACTATTGAGATTCTTCCACAAAAGGTGAGCATCAACAAGGGCTTTATATATCTCTAAGATATGGGTCAACCCTTAAAAGAGAAACGGAGATGCACGAAAGCTAGAATTGAACCTTGACCCAGCCAAACGCCATATGTTTTTGGAGTACTTATTCATTTGTTGAATTTCGAAACTGGAAAACTAAAGTTCTTCTTTACAGTAATTTCAACTCTAATAATAAAACATACAATTATGATGCGCTAATAATATTCAGTTTTGCATTTTGAAATTTTATTTTGTATTATGGAATGGATATGATATATTTATATATATATATATACACATAATATATACTATTAGTTTGTAATATTATTGTTATGGTATAATTAAAATTCAAATATTTGAGAGTTTAGAACTATATGTATGAATTGTAAAGAAAAATTATACGCCCTCTTTTAGAATTTATTTTTTTTTTTTTTAACACTGGATAATTATGCCATTACAAACTACGAGAAATGTTACAGACGATTCAACAACCGACAATTCTATACCTATCTTATGAGGATTCACGCACTCCTAACTGCATCACCTGAGCCGCCCTATCAGATCCACGCTTGACGGTACTCCTTGTGCCATGCTGCAGATCTCTTGTAAGCCTTTCTCCANCACTCCTAACTGCATCACCTGAGCCGCCCTATCAGATCCACGCTTGACGGTACTCCTTGTGCCATGCTGCAGATCTCTTGTAAGCCTTTCTCCACTAATTCGCATAATTCCGTCTTCTCTGGGATTCGAACCCCATACCTGCTGGTGTAGAAGCATTAATGAACCCTTAGTCAAACCACTGGACCAAGGGGGCTTCCACTTTTTAGAATTTATTTTAGCTTAGCTTTTCGTATATATTAAAATAACTTAAAACTGATTCTACTACATTCTTTTAATAATAATTTTTAAAAAGGTAATTTAAGCTAAAAATAATTCAATAAGCATGATTTTTTGAAGTTTAAAATTATCATTTTGAAATATTTGTTTTAACATATTATTTTTCTTAAAATAGAGGGAATGCTTTCATTTTATCTTCATAAAGTTTTTAAAATACGTACTTTTGAAATAAATTGTTTTAACATATTACTTTTCTTAAAATAGAGGGAATACTTTATTTTATCTTGATAAAAAATTAATAAAGACATAAATAAATTATTTATATATGTTTTAACATATTAATTTTCTTATAAATAGAGGGAATACGTTATTTTATCTTGATTAAATTTTAAAGAAGAAAATAATAAATTTAGGAAACAATTAAACTTTGATTACCCAAAAAAGAAAGAAAAACAAAGATGAAAAATAAAAAGCAAAAATGAATGTCAGATGAGAAGAGATGAGGTGAGAGAGAGAGAGAAAGAGATCTTGAATGAGAGCAAAAACACTGCCATCTTTACCAGTTGTGTCATCATCAACCCACACAACACACTCTCCTCTCTTATTTTTTTTTACTTCTCCTTCCTTTCACCATCTCCTTTATATTTTCCCGAGGAAAAAAAATCGAAAAAGCTTTTTCTCTGGGTATTTTATCTTTGATTAGTCAATTACACATCTCTCTATCTCATCCCCTCTCTTGCATCCCTTGCTTAATCTGTTTGGTCTCCTTCTTTGCTTTCTCTAGTAAAAGTACAAAGAGAAAGAGATTCAGACATGGGTTAGTCTGCTGTCTTTTTTTTTTCTGATAAATCCTCTTCTTATTTAACTTTAGCTGTCTCCTTTTTTTAGGGTTAGGGTTTTGAGGTAAGAGAGAGAAAGTATGCGTGAGTTACATCCTTTTTGAGTGACCCTGGATTCTCCACCGCCTAACGACCGCCGTCGCCGCCGCCGAGACGACGCCGAGCTTCCTCACTATGCTCCTCAATCAATGGCACCAGAAGACGACGAACCTCACCACTTCCTCCACCCTCCACCACCACCACCGCCGTCTTCTTCAATGAGACACCACGCCACGTCAGAAGCGGCGGCGAACGGCGGCTGCGGCGAGATAGTCGAGGTGCAAGGAGGTCACATTGTGCGGTCCACTGGAAGGAAAGACCGTCACAGCAAAGTCTGCACTGCTAAAGGACCACGTGACCGGCGCGTGAGGCTTTCGGCTCACACGGCTATTCAGTTTTACGATGTTCAAGACCGGCTCGGCTTCGACAGGCCGAGTAAAGCCGTTGACTGGCTTATCAAGAAGGCGAAGACTTCCATCGACGAGCTCGCTCAGCTTCCGCCGTGGGATCCCGCCGACGCTATTCGTAACGCCGCCGCGAACGCGAAGCCGAGAAGAACCGCCGCCGTGAAAGCTCAAGTTTCTCCATCTCCTCCGCAGCAGCAACAGCAGCAGGTTCAGTTCGGTGGTGGATTCGACGGAGGAGGAGAGAGGCGGAGGAGTAATGATAACGAGACGAGTTTTCTTCCGCCGTCGATGGACTCAGATTCGATTGCTGACACTATAAAGTCGTTTTTTCCGGTGGTTGGCTCTTCCACGGAAGCTCCGCCGCATCAGCTTATGCACAACTACCACCACCATCATCAGCACCCGCCGGATTTGCTTTCAAGAACGAATAGTCAAAATCAAGATCTCCGTCTCTCGCTGCACTCGTTCCCGGAAGGTCCACCGCCGCTTCTCCACCACCAGCACCACTCCGTCGCGGAGCCTGTTCTGTTCTACGGACAGAGTAATCCGTTAGGGTATGACACGTCGACAGGAGGCTGGGAGCAGCAGTCAATTCAGAGGCTGGTGGCTTGGAACAGCGGTGGAGGAGGAGCAAGTGATATAGGAAACGGAGGAGGGTTTCTCTTTGCTCCTCCTCCTCATCATCCTTCAACGACGTCGTTTCAGCCAGTATTTGGCCAAAGTCAGCTTTATTCTCAGAGGGGTCCCCTTCAGTCCAGTTACAGTCCTATGATCCGTGCTTGGTTTGATCCTCACCACAATCATCAGTCCATCTCCACCGACGATCTCAACCACCACCACCACCACCATATGCCTCCGCCACTTGCCTCAGGTGAATTCTCTTCCGGTTTTCGCATACCAGCACGGTTTCAGGGTCAAGAAGAGGAGCAGCACGACGGTCTCAACAACAAACCGTCCTCTGCTTCCTCTATGTCTCGCAATTGATAACAATCCAGATAAACATCCTCTAGTTCCAGGTTTATACCAAGTTCTGTCCTTTTTTGACATCAAGTTCAGTTCTTGTTCGTTGAACTTTTTAGACAATTTTGCAGGGCTTGCCAAGCTTCCATTCACATTGAAAATTTGGCTTAGATTGTTCGGAACAGGGAAGAGGTTTCTCGGTTTGTAATTCAGTGGCTTGAAAAATGCAAGGAAGGGATGTTGGAGTAAAGAAAGAAGAACAAATGTGGCTCACAGTTTCAGGTTCTTCCTTATTTCTTCTTCCAATATCCTGACCTTACCAATTGTAATTTTCATCTTTTTTTACCTGTTAGACAGTGTTCTGTAGCTCAGTTATGGTTAGTTTCTAAAGCTCCTTCTTGTTGTGTGTTGTATCATTATCATCTTCTTGTTACTGCAATAGCCAGATACTTGAGAAATTGCAGTTCCCTGTTTTTGTTTTGTTGTAATGCTCTAATAAAGTCTTGAACGTTCTCTTTATCTCCATATGGGTTTTGCTGCTTTCTCAGCTAAGAAATTGTATAAAATGAAAAAAAAAACTTAACCTAGATAGGTGAAATGCTGGGTTGAAGCTACATAGATCATTGTTGTTAGACAACATGTGAGCATGGGTTTTGATTCTTCTAATATCTCATTTTTGGCCCCAATGATATAAAGTTAGTCATTTTCCATGAACAGTAAAATTTGAATTGTTGCTTTATCTGGGACATCAGGGGGATTTAGCCAGTTCCCTTAAATTAGAAGTGAAAACTTTCCTCACAAGAGTAAAAAATTAATAATTTGTTTTCTGTCTGATGTCATTAATAGTTCCCTCTCACCTACTTTAGTGGTAGGAGAAGATCCACCAAACTTGAATGTGATGTTGTCTTCTTTAATGAGTAAAAGAATGGGGCACATGAGATAGGTATAGAAAGCCACCCATGTTTGTCTAAATGTAGGAAGTTGATCTAAACTACTCAATCTTCTCTATAGTACTGGATCTTGCAAGTTAGTCAAATTAATACTTGAGGTTAAATGCACGGTTTCGGTCTTTTTAGATGTTTATTTTACCATTTAAAGAAAAGCAAACACCTTTTCATGTGATGTAATAAAGATATCACCAAATAAGAGGTGTTAAGATATCAAAAAGTATGTTTTTTCTCTTTTTCTTTGACAAAGGGCTTACATAAAGTATGTTCTACCGAAAGATATAAAGGTTGAATCTTTATGTTAAGGTCTCATGACTCAAAAAAGTTTATTCCCTCTCTTCTTTTTTTCACGTTTGTCAACTGATAATATCATCAAGAAGTTTCTTCTACAAGACAGTTAGATAGATATAGTACTACAGTCTCTATATGTTACTTATGACCAAGTAAAACGTTTCTCAATAAACCTCAAAATATCTAATGGGCTTGAGAGGGATGTTAAAGAAGAGAAGAAGATGGAACCAAAACTGTAAAAAAGCTTTCACTTAAAGAATGGTCCCCTCACTCTATGTTCTCTTGTAAGATCTCTATGCCTTCTTTTTTCTTGAAAAGATCTACCGATAAAAGCCACAGCTTTTTTTGACCAAAAAAAAAAAAAAGTCACAGCTTTTTAACCCCTCTTCAATAATTGCGAATTTTATGTCTGAAGGAGTAATGACCTATGACAATTTTTAGATTAGGGATCCAATGTAAAAAAAAACTTCACTAAAAATTGAATAAAAACAATAACCTTTGTGTCTCATCAACATGTGAAGCATGAAACAACACGTACAAAAACATGTGTGCAATCACATCAAAATCTCTTTGATATGAAGTAACAACACAATCGTCTAATGTAAGAAAAAAATATATGAACATTACATTGGAACGTTTTCTGTTGGCCAAATAACAAATCAAAGAATGTTCTTCTGGTGAAAAAAAACTCAATCTATGAAACCGGTTTTTCTGAAAACAGCGTTCCTTACCTGCCTGAGATCTCTCCCTTTAAGCGTTCTCCCAGCTCCTTCAAGCACAGAGCAAGACAGCAACGAAGACTGCGCCAAAGACCTCGCTACAATCTCATGTGGAGGAAGCCTCTCACCTTCATCCTCCTCCTCCTCCTCCTCCTCATCCACCACATCAGTCAACTTAAACTCCTTCTTATGACGACTCCTCATAGCCGAAGACACCAACGGCACTTGAAGAGGAGCTGACTGAGGATACTTCCCTACAGAAGAAGCTGTAAACGGAACCCTCTCCTGAGGCGGTTTAGGAGCTGAAGGGATGATCCGAGCCGCCGAAGACGAAGAGGACGTGGAGGAAGCTGTGGAGGAGACGGAAGTGGAGAGAACAGCTGCAGGCTTGTGGTGAAAGACATGGTTTAGGTAACTGTTTCCTGAAGGCTCGGGGAGAGCTGCGAGGATACCGGAAGCTTCGACGTTTTTTAAACCGCTTTTGGTTCGTTGAAGCTGGCGGGCGGGTGGGTGTTGAGCAGGGGAAGAGGATGGGGAGTGTTTGGGCGCGTGAGTTATGTCTATTGAGAAGATGTCGTCTTCGTTGAACTCACCATCTGCTGAAGCTGGAGGTGGAGAAGAGGATGACGAGGGGATATCGATTCGTTGGGTTTTGTTCATTTTTTTTTTTGGGAACTTCTTGTGAGATCTGCAGATCAGATAAACGAAAGGTTAGATTTTTACCAGATGGGATTGATAAAGTTTCGATTTTTATGATTTCTGGGTACAGAGAAAGAAGGTTGTTTTTCAAATAAACATTCAAAGGGATTTGATTGAAGAAAGCGTGGGGTTCACGTAAACAAGAAATCTAGGTCATATCTATAGCAAAACCTAGAACCGTATAATATTGCAAGCAAGCAAGCACGAGGATGGATCTTATGAAGAAGAAGATGAATTACTCTGATAAGGAGATCAAGAACCAAAAGGAGGATTGAGATTACCTTAGCTGTGGGAAGAAGAACAGATACAGCAGCGGATTAGATGCACGGCCAGCTAGCGATCTGAATGTTTAGCGACGGTGAGAGAGAGAGAGAGAGAGATGTGCAGAGGGGGGAGAGAGAGAGAGACGAAAGACAAGAAGACCTGGAGATTCCTAGAATTTGGCATCGATATAGTAAACGTCGCCGTCATAATGTTGCAAAGCCCAGTAGGTTAAGCCCAATAGAGAGCCCAAATAGACTAATTTATAAGCAAACAAAACTTGTAGAAAAGTGTGAAATCACCGGTTTAAAAGAAAACTAGACCTTAATCCCGTTCGATTGGGCAGGTATTTATTTTATGTTTTTAGTTTTTTTTTTGTTTATATTAAATAACGTCTTTGTAATATTTAAACATAAATTTAAATTGAAAATTATTTTTGAAATTTATAATATAAATTAAAATTAAAATTAAAACTTTGATATCAATTTTAAATTTCCTAATATCTCTATAATATTATTTGAGAAGTCAGTTTCCTATGTGTCACACTCACGTTAACTCTCGCGATAGTTGATTACATAGATACCCTTAATGAATTGTTAGATTTTAAGATTATTATTAATTCTTTTTATTTAGTTTCCTTTTTACTTTTTTTCCAGAAAATATGTATAATAAAAAAGAAATATTTCTAAAATTGTAAAACAAATTTTAAAACGAAAATATATGTATATAATATGATTTTATTAAAAAGGAAAGTTCACAAAATAGTAATACCCCATTAATATATATTTTTAAATAACATAAAATATACATTCAAAATAATAAAAATATATATGTTCATGAATATTCAGAAATTACCAGTTAAAATTTAATTTTTTGTAGAATTTATATATATGCATGAGATTTCAAAATATTATTATTATATTCATTTAAGTAATTTTGAATCAAACACTTCAGTTTATTATTTATTTCATTGTAAGCACAATATATATTAAGTTATACATAATTTAACTATAATATATTTACATATCTAAGATAATAACCAACCGAAATGAAAATAAGAAAATTAATCAAAGTTTTATTATATTTAAAATAAAAATATTATAGCTGAATTCTAAAAATAGATATTATCCAATATATCAAATTGATAACCATACCGAATATTGATCCAAAAATAATTAAACCGATACTAATATATCCATAGTCATATGTATAATTAGAATAATATAATATTTATTAATATAAATTATACATATGAATTTATTTAAAACTAAAAACTAAATATCAATCAATTATTATAAAATTTTACTTTTATGAATATTTATATCCGTGCATGCACGGGAAAATCACCTAGTATATAATATAGGAGTGTCGTAATTTTTTCCAATTTCACAATTTTAGCATCCCTTAAAAAATAAATAAAATAAATTTATTAATATAAAAAATACATAAACATTATTTGGAACTATAATTTCTATTAAAATAAATATGTGAAAAAACAATGTTCCAGTGTTGTTGTTTCTTTCTAGAGTTAGACCCGTGATCGTATAGATATTTGCTTTTACTTTAATTTTTTTCTTTGGATTAATTAAAATGTATTACAAAATTATTGATATAACATTTTTAAACATAAAAAATATTTATTACTTTGATTATATTTTTTTTTAATTTTAATCATCTATTATATCACAATATAACATATAAACAAATCCAATATTTATTACTAATTGGACTTATATTATGATATCATTATACTAATAATTCATGGAATAAATTATTTTATATTATATATATATGTTATATAAATTGATTATGATGTATGATTTTTTATTTATTACTAATAAATATTAAAAATATTTAAAAGGAAATCTGTTATGAAATCTATTAGAAATTTTATTTTAGTCAAGATTAGATTAAGAAAATCTATTATTTAGTTAGAAAAATATTAAATGCTTAAATCTATTATTTAAATTAGGAAAAAGCAAGCATATTTTAATATATGTTCAATAAATATTTCACTGGCATTCTACTGTAAATAAAATGTAAAATTAAAGGGTATTTCTTTTTTGTACTTCTATTTTAATAATATAGATAAACAAAAACAAATCTTAGTTGTAGATATAAACTCGTGGAAGGCCCTTAATCAAATGCTTTGATCAAGATCCAATGTTTGTGAATTTTAAATCCAAAGAATACGATCCCCGGTTGCATAGAGATAGCTTATAGAAGCTTACAAAGCTCTTCAATATGGTATAAATAGAACTATCATGAATGACGGTCAATGTAATACAAGTGTGCAAGTATGACTCAAATTTAGTAGTATACTAAATTTTAATTCGCACGTTCATCAGATATTTTTATTTTATAAACGTATTTAATATTATTACAAATGTTTTCAATATATAATTTATATTTCATTGTTATATACTGTATAACTTTATAATAATCTTTTTTATATTACTTATTAGGCATTATTAATATATAGTGATTTGTTTACAATTTACTTTGTTATTAATTTTTATTACTTATTAATATATTTCCAAGTTAGGTACAATAAATAACAATATGAAATAATCAAATAAAAAATCTCATTTAAAATCTGTTTTTTCTTTGATTTATATATTCTGCATATAATACATTTTTAAATTTTATTTATTTATATCATAGAAAAGAAATATGAATCTGTAATATAAATAAAAAATATTAAAATGATATATGTTAAAAGTATATCATTTTAATATTTTATGGGATTTGTAACTTAAACACTATTTTGTTTAAATAATATATCCTTCTTGTTTTCGTAAATTTTATATATAGTAGTATCTATCATATTATTTTAGTAATTTTTTATATAGGATATCTTTTTGATGTTATTATATTAAGTTTTTTTTAAAAAATATTAAGACTTCAAAATATTAGACTTCAAAACATTATTTTTATTATCTATGATTTTATCTTTTGTAAAATTTGAAAAATTATCATTTTGAGTTTGAATATTCATTTCTATTTTTTTTTATATTTTGTCAAGAAAACTTTTTGATGTTATTATATTAAGTTTTTTTTTAAAAAATTAAGACTTCAAAATATTAGACTTCAAAACATTATTTTTATTATCTATGATTATCTTTTGTAAAATTTGAAAAATTATCATTTTGAGTTTGAATATTCATTTCTATTTTTTTTTTATTTTGTCAAGAAAACTTTGGAAAATTACACAACCACTTTTGGTTTTGAACCATTACATGAATTTTGATTTTTTTTGTTACTACACTAATATATTTTTCCTAATATTTTTTAAAAACTTTTACAACAAATTTTGTTATAATTAAAATTAAAATAAATCTATAAATAAAATTTGATTTTTCATTAATATTTTAAATGAATTACTAAAATTTCTTTAGTTTTCTATTAGCATATACGATTAAGTCGGGATACCAAGTGAGACGTATTTATCCAGATAACAAAAGATCACCAGTAATGATGGGACCTACGGTTGACTCACTGAAGGCGTATTGTTGGAAGATACGATGCCCTCCAAAGATAAAACATTTTTATGACAGTTGATATCGGGATGTATAGCGGTCAAGAAAAACCTTATAGCAAAAGGGATGCAAGGAGACATTTGTTGTGTTAGGTGTGGAGCAGAGGAGGAGTCGAATAATTATGTGTTTTTTGAATGCCCGCGGCATGCCAGGTTTGGGCATTATCAAAGATACCATATAATTCAGATATTTTTTATACCAGTTTCCTATTTACAAATATGGATCACTTGTTTTGGAGGGTACTTTCAAAAATGGAAGATCATCATTTCGCTTAGGTATTCTGGTACCTTTGGAAATCCAGGAATAGTAAGACGTTTAGTAACTTGGATATTGATCTCAATGACACGTGAAACTCGCAGAAACAGACTCTGGAGAGAGGTGCAGTTGGCACATGCACAACAGACTCCGCACCAGGGAGAAGTTGGGGATCTCCCTTCCATTCCAGGTCAGTGGTGTTTTACAGATTGTTCATGGAAAGTTCAAGAAGATTTTTCTGGACAAGGTTGGTATAGCACACTAGAAGGCTTCCAGGGATTAATGGGGGCAAAAAATTTCACGGCAAGCCTCTCGCCCCTATGTTTGGAGGTGGAAGCTTTAATCTAGGCAATGGAATGCATGAAGAATTTGCGTCAATACCGGGTCACTTTTGCAACGGATTGTTCTCAGTTGATGAAGATGGTGTTGGAACCAGAGGAATGGCAAACGCTTGCAACTTATTTGGCGACATTAAGACGCTGAAAGATAACTTTCATAGCTCAGAGATCATCTATGTACCAAGAACGCAGAACTCACGGACGGATAGCCTAGCACGCAGTGCCAAGAAACAATCGTCCTTTATCGTTCACATGGATGCAGAGCTATCAGTTTGGTTCGCAGAGTCTACATGAGTCTGTGTGTTTGATGACAAAAAAAAAAGTATATGAACTAAAGGTTATTATATATTATTATATTTTTGTATATTAACATTTTAAAAATATATATTGTTGAGCAATTCAAGATAAATAAAAAGATAATATATAGTTGTAGATATAAAATTTAAACCTATGTTAATACATTTACTTTGTATAATAATATTATATATTTTATGAATTTTAACACATTTTGATGATGATTGATAATTTGATTAAACTAAAAATTTAAAATATAAAATTTGTTAGTTTACTTATTTAAATTATTTTATTAATTAATTCATATAGACTGCTATTTTTATATAATACATAATTTAATTATAGGATTTAGAAAAATAGCATATATTTTTTTCTTGTTTTATAATAAAATATTAGTTAATCTTGATTTACAATATGATTATATATTAATTTCAAAATTTATTAAAGTGTTATTTTATAATAACATTATTTAAATTTTTGAGTAAGATTTTGTTAGATTCTTTGTCTACAGATTTTATTATAATTAACTGAATAAAATTCAAATTTATAATTGGTTTAGCATTAATGTAAATAATCAAATATGTCATATTAGATAATTATGTAAGTGGTTCTACTATAACTTGTTAATAGTAAATAAAAATAGGACGTTAAATTAATAGTTTAGATGATTATTTTTACAAGTCATTTTATCACAATTTGTAATAAAATAAATCAGT